GCTAACTAGATTTTTCTAAGAAAGGAAAACAATTCACAGCCAGAAACGATAATATATACTGTACTGTATAACTAATATATATAAAAAAACTTTAAATCAATTGAATCGCTTGTGTAATGATCTGTGAACTCGGGGCATACTCGGGACAGTCCCTCCTGTTTACCTGAAGCCACAATCTCGAGATAGAAATATTCCAAATAAGGAAATGATGATCCTGATCATGCATAATAGTTTAGCTAATTAAAATCACAAATTTTTATCATGTGAAATATATCACATGTTGATTAGCCAATCAAATTGTAAATTCCTATGAAATAAAAAAAACGAAAATTTAATTAAAATTTATAGCTAAAGAGCTAAAATTCAAAATAAATGCTGTTAAATGTTACTGTTAGGTAAGCAGCATGTATTTATTAATTTAAATAAAAATTATTAATTTTTTCATAGTATATATTTATTTTATTTATTACAAGACTTGATAATACAGTAATAATATTCTACGTATATATATACGCTAACTCTGTCTTATTCTATATTTAATTCTACGTCTACTCAAATTTTAAATCTTTTACACTATACTATCTCACACAATTATCATTTTTATAAAAGATCTTTGAAATTTTAACACACATCATATATAAACTTATCGTATCTTAAAAATTCCTATAATGATAATATTAATAAATTACAAGTTAATTAATATTATTCATATATTTTCAGTTTTCTAAAAGATTTCTATATAGTACGTATAATAAAAAAATATACAAACTATTTTTTTTTCTCATTTTTTTTTTTTGCTTAACAAACGAGATTTTGTTAGTATAGCAGTAGTTAATTGCTTATAACTTTGACCGGTGAAGTGTAATATGAAAGTTGTTGGATTAAAATAGATTAAACGAATATGTTGTAGGGCAAGGTGAGACCTTCGAGTTTCTCTAATAATCTACTGCATTTCATAAAGGAGATAATCTACCTGAGCTTTCGAAAAAAGTATTGTAAAACATATAAAAAAAAATCTTTAATCAATTGTGTAATGATCTACAAAATCAAGACACTCAGGATGTTCCTACCTCGGACTGTAATTTAGATTGACAGAGCGTAGGATCAATTTTCTGAACACATGATACCTTCAGAAAACTTAGAATTTTTGTTTACATTAAGGTTTTGGTTTGATGGAAGTTCATTTTAAAGTTACAAAGATTGTCCTAATAGTAAAATCATGCAAGAAAATTTTTTATTTAGAACACAAAAGGTAGTTAATTAGATGAAATTCTGAGATATTCTCGATTTCTTTAAAAAGGATGTTTGTTTTGATTTTTTTACATTACACATGATCGTGATTTCTCATTAGCTAATTTTGGCTCGGAAATCACGTGTTCAGAAAATCGATCCTACGCTCTGGCGTATACTTGCTACCCAAATACCAAAATATGAGACCCAATTCTAAATCCCAAATCTCACTATCAAAATCTTAAAGTCGAAAATAGAACAAGTGCCAAATTAGGTACAAATCCCAAATTAGGTCCAAATTCCAAATTAGATACAAATTCCAAATTAGGGGACGTTTAAAGCGAAGCAGATTCTTATAATATATATTTTATTGAATTAACTTTAGGGTTAGGTCATCTTATATTGGGGTTAGGCTAGGTTTTAGGTAGTTAGATATAAGCAAAATTGCCTTCCCAACATTTTTAATTAACCTACCTGAGGTAGGTTTAAACTATAGATGCTGGTGAAACTAAATAATGCTGATGAAACTGGTGACTATCTAAAATCTGATTGGCTGCTATATTAAATTTTACCAGTTTCACCACTATTTACCAAGAGTTTCACCAGTTTCACCAGCATTTATAGTTTAGACTGCCGTTTTTATATTTTCAGGTTTTTCGTTTTTATTTCTTGTTTTGCTTCGCCGGTAATCATAATTTGATTGGTCAGATATCACGTGATTCTGCTTCGCTTTAGACGACCCCCAAATTAGCGTTAGGTACAAATCCCAAATTAGATACAAAATTTAAATTAGATCAAAATCTCAAATAGTATCAGATAAATTCTAAATTAAAAATAACTTTTATACATCCAAACTATTTGAGATAACAGAGTTATGAAAAAATAATTACCGATATTAATTTTATATAATAAATCGGCTATTACTATATATTATAAATTTACCATTTTCTTGAACATTATAGATTAAACTATTAAATATATAAAATATTGTAAAATAAAAATCTTTGGATATTTTATTTGATGCCGTTTATACTATAGATTAGATTTTTTAATATAAATCTCATTATAATATAAATCTTGTTATGTAATCTTGTAAAATCAATAAGTAGACTGCTAAAAAAAATACAAATTTATTTATTCTAATTTATCAAGCAAAGTATCGATATCAAAATTGGGATCGCCATGATTAATAATATCAGAATTACTAGAAATATTATCGTCATTATTATTTAACATTCTATGCTCTAAACAAATAAAATTTTCTATTTCTAATTGCGAAATATTTCCATTTTCAGTATTTGACAATTCTTCTTCATTCGATTTTTCATTAGCAAATTCTTCTTCTTTATAGTTATTTTCATTCTTATCATCAAATATATCACACTCTTCTATCATAGCATATGCGATTTTATCAAAAACTTGCATTAATTTGTCTTGCGAAATTTCTGATTTAACAAACTTAAGTTCATTTCTTGCATTAGTAACAAGGTATGAGTGAATTTGCGCCATACTTTCTAAATGTGATATATTAATCCTAAATACAAAAATAATAAATATTAAGACTAAAATTATAAATTAAACATAATTTAAAAAATTTTATTACTTTGTATGACGTTTTCCCATATACCAGTTTAGAATAGAGAAAACACGTTCACAAACTGCATTATGAGGTATAATTGCATTTAATCGTAGAGCTAAAGTACAAATATGATCTTCATTTTTTTGCAATTCACAGAAATTCCACCAGTTACGAACATTATCAACTGATTCAATAAATTTATCCTTAAATGAAGGTTCTCGGTTTTTGTATAATCTCATTTGTGTTCTCAAAATTTCAGCGCTAGTTACTCTACCACCAAACTGCTTCCAAAGAGTTAATGCTGTTTTGACTGTTCATCTGTATATTTCAAATTAAAAAAGATCTGCTA